ATTGACTGGCACCGAATCTCAACTGTGTTTTATGTATGGACAGTGTAACTAAAATTCTGTTTCAGTTAAGACACATCAAACAAAACTCCGTTTACCGTCACGTCGATTACTCGGTCACATAATATATCTCTAATTCGTAATCCCAAGAAATGTCCTTAATTCACTGTAGTCGAAAAATGCTTGTATTAAATGCATTATATAAAAGTAAAACAAGGTAGAAAGTTTAACGTTTGACATTTACGTTGGTACCCAGTACTTATTTCTAAATTGTTTACGTGAGTGAAAAAAAAATGTATTTTCACGGTCCATTTCTGGGACGGAGAATGTGCTTAAGTACTTTAAAGTTAACAATGCTTATACATATGTAGTCAGCTGAAGACAATAAATAATTTATTTTGCCTGTTTTTATTTCGTGTGATAATTCGTTGTGGTTATTTATTTCAGTTCTGTAAATAACATTTCTAAATATTATAGTTATTTATTATTGATTTTTTATTTGGTACCTATGATATTATTTTATAAAATCAACGGTAAAACTAAAGTGTCTTGTCAAACTTAACATCAACATCCTTCCGTTTGGTATTTATCTGTCACCGATATATCACGTATCTGAGATAGACAACGTTCTATAGTTAGGTACTACTGTCGAACAAATGCATTGCTAAACCTATTTATACATAAAAACCGAATTTTCAATGGTTTCGGTAGTGTTCTCTGTTCGCATTCGCTGTGGCGTCTACGTCTGAGGTGTGTAACTATCATTTATTTGATCGAGAGTGATCAAGTAAACCTTCACTTATCGGCCGTCAATGTGTTTCATTGATTGACAATAACAAATATGGCGGTACAATTTATTTTTGTTACACTGATATTTTGATTCTTATAATTTTATTGGATATCAATGATATCATAATTATTTGATAACATTTTCGAAATATTGTCTCACTTTTTGAAATTTTTATAGCCATGAGAAATTCGATTAAAAAAACATTTTTTTTTTCAATTATTGTCGATAAACAATTTTTCACTCTATCAACAAACTTGAAAATGTAGTATTAGGTTTCACATAAGTTGTTAATAACGTAATTAATAAACAAAGTTGAGCGAAACCCACAATACATTTTTACGAACAATTTCATTAGGAAATTGATAAAAATTGTTCTTTTCATAGCTAACATTTTAAACTTTATTAGAGGATTCCCCACAATAGATTTCTACCTTTGGCAAAAAAATGGTTTAAGAGTTTATTCTGTATCATTTATGATTTATTATGTATAAATACATAATAGACACCGAAAAGCCAGGGGGACATGTCCCCCCTTGCCCCTTCACCCTAATCTACGCCCTTGCAAGATATGCCGACCACAGAGTGGTAAGCGACCTTATCATCGTGAGCCTGCAGGGAACTATCTTCGGGGCAAAGACCTTTTTTGTATACCTTTTCTTTTCTCTGGCGGCACCTAAAAAAGTCACACGCCCTACGTTTTACCGTTATAAGTGCTTGCCGATTTTTTAAACCGTGGTCATATAATAAGGATTGTCCCTTTTGGTCGTTGATAGTGGTTTTATTGGGTGTGACCGATTTCCACGAGTGACAGTATGACTGTTATTTACCGATCTGTTAAATTTTAGTTGACTTGCTAAAATGATGTGTGAGCAAATCATTACAATTATAGTGTAGTGTTAGTTTTGATATTAGAGTGAATCGTCTATCGATGAAACCATAATATGTTATGTTCAAGCTACTTCCTCTAACCAAAACCATTTCCATTTTTCTGAAACATCGAAACATTATTTAGGTACTTTTTTATTTCCTAGTTCACAGCTATCATAAAGCCCATCCTATATCTTCTGACGACTTTATTAAGAAAAGGACAATTAATATAATTAGCCATACCGCTGTACCTATGTCTTCCACATAATGTTGTTATTGTTTCATCTTAATATGGCATTAAACTACATTAGATTCAAAAGTTTATATTCTTATTTCTTATCTGAATTATTTTAATTACCATATTTATTTTACAAAATAATATGAACCTGGAGGACGAGGTGGCCGAGCGGTCTAACGCGTCGACTGCGGCGCTGGCAGTCACGGGTTCGACTCTCGACCACTGGGCGGCATTTTTCTCCGGGCAAGTCACGGTGTCCGGAGTACAAATGCCGCCATCCCCCACCCCGGGGCATGGCAGAAACCTACGGGTGCCCCAATAAAAATTCTGCCACCACAAACACACTCGTGTATCAACCTACCCAATCTAAAAACCTACAGTTCCCTACACACACCCAATGGCCCATGTTGCCGCGGGTTATCCAATAAAAAAAAAAAAAAAAAAAAAATATGAACCTATAATAATAGGTACTACTTATATTAATATCTATAATCTAAAATGGGTTTTATACTAATAAGTAATATCTAATGAAATAAAAAAAAGTTATTTTAATGTCAAGCGTACGACTTATATAATTTTCAATATTTGTTATAGCTTTTGTTATTTTTTTATTTTTTATGGGATAGAAAAATAACCATATTATGGTCATTATGGGAGTTCATTATTTTTTTTTTATTGTATTAATGTGGGTGAATTTTTTTTCTCGCTATTGTTCGATTTGGCATTTGGCACAGAAGACCTCGGATGACCTCGTGTTAAAGCGCTTTCCATTTCGAATAACACAGTACTATTATCAATTATGCTCGGATGTCGTCATGTCAATCGAGTTTCAAATCAAATAATCCACTATAGTATAGTGTGTACCCAAATGGGGGGTTTTTTTTTTAAACATGTCGTATTGTGTCTTTGGACACTCGACAGTCGTTTATTCGCTATTGTACACAGCGTATACACGCGTTGTGTATAAACAGTGTTATACTTTGAACCCTCCCTCATATTAATGCTTAAACTTTCTTGTTGACTCGTCCAATACACATAAATCCCAAATGAATTCAACTACAGAATAGAGTAAAGTTCTGATTGCGAGATGCGCTGAAGACTTGCGAATACAGGTCACCACAAAACCTCAAGTACGTAAAACACATATTATAATAATATATATATACTGTATTTAGTACTTTTTCGCATACATTTATGAAATCATAAACTTACATTATGGCCATAATAACATTACTGTACGTATTCATAGAGTACCTGAGTAACGATATTTTAACGTTCCTGGAATGATATACTCTTACACATGATACCTATCTAGAAGTAGTAACTATACTTATTTCCGAAATGTATTAAGTAAGTAATCGCTATATACGAGCTTATTCACTGATATATACTTTCCTAACGAACGCGGAAAAAGTCGATTTCACATTTTGTTCGTATTTTATAAATAAGCATTTTGGTTTTTACTCATCTACGTTTTTCATACGTGGAATCCATTTTATATCCATATTATAGATTTCAATTTTATTTCAGTTTTCAGTATAAGTATTTACCTATTACATTCACTATATTTACACCTATGTTTATTTAATAATTTTTTCAAACGTTTAGCCTACCTATAATACCTATAATACCTATAATATAAGTACATTATACTTATAGGTAGATACTACAGTTAATACCATAATAATCCATTGAGCCACATTCTTAGTTTTTGTAATTTAGATTGCAATTTTCTTTAAATTTAATAAAATTTACAAAATATCATAATTAAATATTTAACCAACTAAATACAATAATAAAAAGAAGGGATTTCACTTTGCTGTATAGTAGGTGTATACTGTATAGTAGGTATAGTGGTGTTAAATTTGAATTCAATGGCATACATAATATCATTGTATACCCACGAAAAAGGATTCTAAGCGAAGCTAAATACTATAGATTACTTACTGGCCGCGTAAACACGTTGTGCGAAAAATGGATGTTACCTACCTATTAGCCATTAGGCCATTTTCTATTCAATTCTGAGCAGAATGACGGGCGAGGAAGCTAATGGGTTTTTACTACAATGATATGCATTTTTGGGCATTTACTACGATTTTAAAGTACATGTTGAATATACATCGGTCATGTATAGTTTTGGAACGAAATACCTGTGAATGGATAAGACAGTAAAATATAAGGGCACTTCACCAGAAAATTAGAAAAAAAATAACAGAAAATTCGTTAAACAAGATTGATTAAAAATGTTACTGTTAAAATTAAAATAATATAATAACCGCTTCTTGGCCAGAAAATTACATTTATATCGGAATTACGATAACTTCTTATTACAAGAATTTCTGATGTGTAAAAAGAAAAATTCAGCTGAGATTTAAAAATAATTGATTCTATCTTGAGAAATATATTACTAAATTAATACATCAGCAATTTAGCAAACTATATTTCTGAATTATAACAAATTAAGGTATATTTGTTATTATTAAATTGTTTCTTTTGAAAATAAAAGATTATTCTGAGTATAAAACAAAGAAATTTCAATATAATAAAGTATTAAAAAGAAACTTTGACATTATTCGTGTAACTCATAAATGGAATTCTAGCTCTTATTTCACGAATTTGAACAGACATTTTTCATTATTAAATTCATATAAAATAATTTTGAAAACATAGGTTAGGTTAGGTTAGGTTACTCATAATACTCATAATATGTAGCACTCATAAGTCATAATATGATATTAGTTGCTGTTAAGTCTGTTGTAACTTCGAATTATGCATTTATTGGTTTAATACTTGTTTTTTTTTTTTATAATTTTTAACATGATTAAGAAAATTCATAACTCATTCAACTTATCTTTACGAACCCTTTAAAAAATAATGATATTTAATAAAGTAAACACAAATTCAATGTAGAAAAACAGTTTTAATCTCAGTCTAAATCGTACTCTGTAATTCATCAATAATTAGTAATAACCTAAATAATTGTATAAATTATAAATACCTTACATTCTATGTACCTAGATATAAAAAGTTGTATCATTAAAAATTATAAGTATAATATTATTATGTACTATTCTAAAATGCACTAAACTATAATTTTTTGGTAACGAATCACGAAGAATTTGGAATAATCTCGGCTACAAAAGTCCTTATCTGCATCGGAGTTAACATGACGTGCTTGGGGTCAATCGAGTTTTGGTCAGGCCTTGTCAGCTGTTCGGTGCCCGAAGAATTGCTATTTTCTGGCATCCAAGTAAGTTTAGTGTTTTCCGCGAGCCATTGGTTTCCACCCAATATTGTCTCCTTTAGTGAAACTACGCGGAACTTTGTAAACAAGTCCTAAACCAATCAATAAGTATTGTTATAATAATATTACAATTAATTATAAAATCATAACAGTTTTGATAACTAATCGAGTTAAATATTAGACTATGATACAACAGTTATAAAACAAGTTAAAAACCTTAAGTTATAATATTAAATTTAAAAATATTCAAACGAGTTCTACTACTTGTACGATTTAAATAAAAAACTTAAAACTCATATATCAAAATTAAAAACCACACAAATATTAAACATTGTAAGGTAAATAAATACCAAAAAAGTGCATATCATTTAAAATCCTAAAGTTACTTTAAATTCCAAACTAAAACTATGCTCATAAAAAACAAACATACCTGTACGTCTATGACAACTGGCGTTGACAAATTTTTGTTTTCATTGTACTCGAATATGTGCTCAAATCTTAATAACACCGATCCGTCTTTCCATGGTTCCAAAGTAAGTATCTGTACGTTATTTGGTAAAGGTTTTTTCAGACCAGAATACTAAAAAATTGTATCCTCATTTAAGATGTTATAAATCAATTGCAAATGAAATGCAAACAAATTATTAATTATATTATTTTTTTTATTGATTTGTATTAAATAATTATGAATATTTTGTAAATATATATATATATAGGTACTTAAACCCAATTCAATTTATTTGTGATTACATTTAATTTAATGTCAGTTTTATATTTTCGTAACTTACTGTAGATAATATGCTTCATTAATACAATTTACATTTTTGATTTAGTTATGTACACTAATGATAATTATTCATAAGCTGTTCAGTTTTACCACGTAATTGTCGTAACTGTTAAATAAAGTTAATTAAATGCAAGTGTTTTTAGTTAAAATCTATAAAACAAACCAGAATAGTTAAATACGTATTTAAAACGATTATTCCCTAATTTTTAAAGCTTTTTTTTTTACTCAACAAGGCAACAACTCTTAAATTATACGTAACACCCTAGCTCACATTATTTAATTTTACAAAAATGTATTATCTAATTTAATATTTTATGTATTTTTGTATTTTTTTTTAAATTGTAAAAATATTAATGCATGGACTCTATATTCAGACATTTTGTAAGTACATCACTAGAATTGGAAATTGAATGCTCTTCTAGAACAAGTTTCCGTCATATTTATATCATTTGGTAAGTCAACTAACTATGATTTTACTATAAAAAGTAAACCTAATTATGTAATCACTAAAAAAAATATTGTTTTTATTATTACATCGTTTTAATTAAACTATATCAATATAGGTATTTCGTCTATGCTATTTAGTATTTTTACAGAAATATAAATTATTTTCTAAAGGGAACAAATCATAAAGACAATCACGGAGAGTGTTCTTATTATGATTATGATTTATTAGTCTTCCTTATATTTTTTTGAATTAAATATTACAGAATTAATGTAATTTTGATTAAGCAATTATTAACATGTTAAAGCATTGCCAGTATAATTTCTTATACCTCGTTAATTTGTTTTTATATTTCCTCATAACCTACTTTGTTTTTGACTAGTTTGTAACACATACTTATAAAAATATGTAACACATATTTTGTAATCAAAATTTTTTTATACCTCCGTAGTACATACTATAATATTATGGAGTAGATACACATCACACGGCCACGTGGGTTTACAGTTTTAAATTGAAACTAATTATAATTACATAGCTATAAATATTCATGATACGTGTTATATACTTCATGTATTATAAATATATTTCTTAGTTTTTAAATTTATTATTAACATTTTTTTATTCAGATAAATATTTATTTCGTCTTACCTGTAGTGCATTGGATTTCTTTAGCTCTTCGTAAGATACAACACTATGTTTCTTTGTGAAAAAATATTGTGGCCTAATGAGTTTCCTTTGAGCCAATAGCCTTTCTACCTCAAATAGTTTATCAACTGGTCCATAAGTTAAATAGTGATGTCCTCTGGCTACCAAGCCTACTCCAAAGGCGGTCTCGTTCAACGCTTCGTCAACACCAAAGGCATCGTCGTGGAATATCCTTCTGTGTACCTAAAAACGATGTATTTGAAGTCGTTATAATGACATCGCAAGAAAATATCTGATACAATATAATATAATATATATTATTATATGTAGGTACCATGAGCTCGACTTCACCGTCCTGAAGACTGGATCCTCCTTGAGACCTGTCGTTGAGAACGGTAAATCTGGTTTGATCGTCTGTCAACGATATGCGAGAAGTAATTGGATAATAGTTTCCTGATACGTTTTCCACGTTTTCTTTTAACGCAAACGAAGGTCTGTAGTTCAATATACGTTTCAACATTTCCCGGCCGTTCGAATCGGTATAGAATGTTTGATTGTTTTTGTAAAACGGAATTCGAAAACGTGATATGACTTCCTTCCCAATTTTATCGCTGAGACAGAACAAACAAAATCAGCAACATTAGATTAGGTCTGATTGGGATTGGCCAACAAAAATTGTTTAATTTATATTTACTCGTTTGGTATGGGTCCCACAAGCCATTCGAATTCGATATTATCATCCCCGTTGTACAATCTTATCACCTGGCTCACCCATTCGTTGCACTCTCTATGAATTTCTTGCACTACGGGTCCTGTAGATCAATATAAATAATGCCATGTTACAATGAAAAGCAAATAACACCGGCGTGACACTAATACAAATCGATTTAATTCAAAAAAAAAAAAACTCTAACCTGAGACGCGTCGTGGCTTTTTCTGATTATCGCATACAGGAATAGGTTCACCGTCGGGACGGAATATATAAGCTCCCGACGCTCTCTTATAATCTTTTAAGTTATCTCCGGCCATACTTTTGTAATATAAAAATTCCTGAATCAAAGGTACTTCCTCGTTATCGACGTACAGTACGAAACGTCTCGGGTCGCTATCATCGATTGTCAGACCTAAACGCTAAAAACGAGATGTATTTAAATGGACATATATTATATTGACTTAAAATGGTCCCGAGACACATATATTTTGTGAGAAACAATTGTATTGGAAATTATTTATATTTTTATAAAGACAAGTAGTATTGTTTGAAAAAGCCAGTATAAAATTACTTTAACATGTTCATAATAATTATGTGTTAAATGTACGTATACCTATGTCAAAATGTTTACTTACTCGTATTAAAATTTAATATTAATTGTTAAAAAGAGAACAAATATAATTTTAACCAAACATAACTTTCTAGTTAATGATTATATATTAAATAAGATACATTGATGCACTTGGCAAGATTATTTTTTAAACAGTGCCAATTCTGGCTATTTATAGAAAAACTAATACAATCGATTTTTTTTTATATTTAATCAAATTGAGTCCATAAATACAAATCATTAAAGACAAAATACGTTTTTTGAGAAAATGTTCGGAAAAATTGTTGAAAATAGGTCATATTATTATTATGTACGTTTTCAACAATAATACCTGTAGATTCGTTTAATTCGAAGTATGTAAAATATACGAGTTAAGTTATAGGTGACAACAATAATATATTAAGATATATTATTATGACATATTTATATACAAGGTTGCTTGACACGAAATAATAATAATAATGTCGTATATACCTAATAATATAACCACCGTGATACTTACTCTATCGCCAATGTCCACGGGACCTCCGGTTTCCGATTCTGCCGACCTCTTGGCTCGCAAGGTGTTTAGATAACTACTTCTCGATTCTTTCGTGACCAAATATGACTTGTACCCCAGTGGTGGTAAATCGTCGGCCTGGAACACGAGTTCGGCTGTGGCCGTCGACTGGCGGCCCGGAATACGTAGGACTGCACTTGGCAAAGGCACGAACTGCACCGTGAGCCTTAGCCCCGAAGGGTCGACTACGCTGTAGGCCCTCTCGCCGGGTATGGGCAACCGGACGAATTCCGTGACCGGTCGACTCAACGGGTTGTAAAGGGTCAGCACGAATTGTTCGCTGTGTTCGGACACTTCGCACTGGCTGATGTTCAACAGGTGACAGGTCTTGCACTCTGCAGGAGTTTTCACGCCGGCGGCCAACCCTCTGAAAACACGAAAGCGTACCTCTATGTAGTCGAGGTTTATTCGGCGTAATAAATATATATATTATAATATGATCAGTGCCAATTTGGCGGATACGAGACTTTTTTCAAGTACGTAAGTGACAATGGGGCATAATAGTTATCTTGTTTTAAAGTAAGAAAGACATTTTCATCGCTTCCCTCGAAATAAGTATTTTAGCCGAGTCTCATAATTATGTAAATGAAGTACAAGTATGTACTTTGTACTTTAAGAGGGTCGTATTTGGATGATTATTCAATTACTTGTTGAAAAATGTACTTTGAAACGTTCACGCCACATTATTATGTGTAAGCATATTATGAAAGATATTTTTGAATTGTGTAAAAATTAACAACTGGTGATTGTCTATCCAGAATCGAGGTTATGGATTCTCAACTTTGGTTTGGTCTTTAGTTCTCAAAATATTTTTTGATAATCACCTTAAATCTACTATGTTTGGTACTTACCATATAGAAATAGAAAATTACAATTAAATTTGGAATATTTTATTCACGTGACTCATGCTGGGTTGCATGAACTAAACATTTAACGAATCAAATAGCGTGCGGTAATGGTGCCCTAAATTAGTGGCCCATGATTGGACCATTAAAATCGTATTGAACTGCAGTTCATGCAACTCGGCATAATATTTCTAAAAGATATAGGTACGGCATACATCCACGTGTCGTCGTAAATTTAACGAGTACACGTTAAAAAAACAAACTAGAAACGTGAGTATAAGCCGTATGCCCTAGTAGGAACTTCTGTGCCCCCCCCCATTATTATTATTTGTAGATATCACGCATTACGATAATATTGTGCACGACGCTTCTTCGCACTCTTCGATGGCTTCGCTCAATAATCGAGCGTAATCGTTGGCCACGTGTTGTTTCTCTGTACCGGTAATGGCATCGTGATGTTGCATCACCCCCATCGTTTCACGGAGTGGGGTAATTTTTGGCTCGTACTTGACACCCTCTAGACTTTGGACTGATAATTGTTTGCACGTCTAAAAAGTATTAATAATCACAACGGTGTTGCAGGTTGCGATTTACATTAGGACCATATTAATTAATTATAATATAGGTAATAATATTATCGTTAATTTAATATCGTAGTGATGGTTAACAGGTCGAGTATTTCGGTATATCGAGATACGATTAGAATAATAGTAATTATACTGCAGTGGCGGCGGGATATAGGATTATTTGAAGCAATTGCTTCATGTCTGAAATGGGTGGGTGGGTGAATAAATTTATATATAATCGTAAGACCTCAACACAAATTTCATGGCAAATATTCTAATTAATAATTATTAATGACCCCTACTGCTAATTTTGCTTCGATGAAGGGTACGATGGTAAAAATATTTATAATATACTATATGCTTCAAAGCCTCCACAATTTCACTCCGCCACTGAATTATAGAGCATATTAAATGTAGGTATACTGTTAAGTTAAGGTGTATACTGTATACATATATTATATCGAGATATGATTAGAATAATACTAATTATAGAGCATATAAAATGCATACACCTTAACTGTTAAGTATTATAAATTATAGGTACCTAATATATATATAGATACACATTGATTTAACGGTTGGGTTACTTACCTGTAAATGATTGTTTCCCCTTCGTTCGTAGTACTTTTGTGTGGGCCTGGACGTAAAATATCCAGTCCAATACGAATGTTTGTCGCTTTTGTATGGGAAAAAGTCGTCTTGCTTGGTCGGGAACGTAATTTTCTGATCATTAACAGCTTTCAAATAACATGACGGCGTCGAGTAAATAGCGTTAATTTTACTTCCGGATGCTTGTTTTGAGTTTATATGTCTACAAACGATATAAGGCTAAGTTCGGAATCCATGAATTTGTTTGATAAAAGGAAACTAATTATTGTCCATATACCATAATTGTTAATATTATTAAAAAGGTTTTTAACCAAACCAAACCACCGTGCAAAATAGTTTTCAAATAATTGTATTGTTAATGGTGCAGTGGTAAACATGAAATATAATCTATATATTAGAGTGACCTGATATCATTTTTTCCCCTACTCAACACTGGTTGAGCAAGAGTCACAACTTCTTACTAACTATTAATATTTTGAAATTTGATTTTTCCAAAATATTCCTTCATTACATGATTGCGTTTATTATTTTTTTTTACAGTAGGTAGGTAACTAATTTTTTTTTCATAAATCGTATATTATATAACTATATCAGATACCAATTTTCAGGACCAATTTTCTATATTAAAACTTAAGTTGCAATTATTAATTTTCATTCCTTTCATTCCATAAATTCTAAAAATCAAATTTCAAAAATTAGAGTTTGAAAAAGTTTTTTGCGGGGAAAAACACGACGAGGCACAATAATTAACATGATAAATATAAACACGTAATAAAAATATATTATTCAGTGTTTATTACAAAATATTGAAATCTTAAAAGGTTTTATTTGAAAAGCGTAGATAAATTAGAATTATAACCATATAGGTGTACTTTAATAATAAATAATAATTAGTATATGCGATAGCCAGTCCGTCATTATTTTTGTTTGGATGGTTAATTAATATTTAATGTAACGTAACGAAATGCATTAAAATAAAAAATTATTATTATATAAACAAATTTAATACAAAATTACTCTCAGACGCTCATACCTAATATAATAATATTTAATAAAAATCTTTTGAAAGTACCTACTAGGTATATGCGTTCATTTCAGAATGTAAATTATATTTATAAAAATTAACTTATTCTGTATGAAATGCTCCGACGGATAAAGGTCAGTAAAAATTGTATATTTAAAAACCTACTCTACTTTACAAATATTATTAAGGAAAATAAGTAAATAGTGTTGTTGCTAATGCTAAAATTTAAAAAAAAAATTGATTTAGAATTACAACTTTTCAATAACTTTTATAACCATAAATATTTCAATATTAAGTAATACATTGCTTACCTACTCTTCTAAAAATACCTCAATAAAATAATCAATGTGGTTATTATTAAGAGGACGTCACAAGTTGTGACTCACAACCACATGTGTTGTCTCCGTCTTACATATGTATACGACATAGAAAAAACTGTTTTGCGAGGGACAATCTAAATACTCCTTATGTATTCATAGTAGAATTATTACAAAAATTCCACAACGCATAGGGAAGAACTTTATCTGTTTCGTACTGTAGTGGTATTTTTTTGATAGGACTAACCAACAATTTTCAATAGTTAAATTTAAAAAAAAAACCTTATATTCTCAAACTAATAACAATATAACATAAAATATTTAAATGTATATTTTATGTTACCCAAATAATAAACCTCTACGACACAGACAAAGTTCTTCCCTATATGCGTTGTGGAATTTTGGTAATTCTACCATAAGTACAAAGGGAGTAAAATTGTTCCGAGAAAAGTTTTTTTTTGCTATGTTAATTTTGTAAGACGGAGACAACACGTCATGCGTATGCGGCGTCCTCTTTAATAACTGATAACATTACAATATTACGTTCGTTTATTTGATTAAACTATTGAATTTGAAAGATTATAAATGCACATCATAATATTACACAAATATACAATGTTATATTAACTATACTAACTTAATTAGTTTATCCATGCTATAAAAGTTAACAGCTGCATCGGTGTATTGGAAATCATCACCCATTGTTAATATAATGTTATTAGTTCGATAATGAAAAGATTGATTGGTTACATATGCAATAAGTCTTTGAGCCTGAAAACATTGACCATTATTATGATTTCCTACAAAAAAATCTCGCACGGGTTTTAAATGTACGATAATTACGTGGTTTATATTTTCTTGATATATATATATAAATACAAGAAGCGGTCATCTTTCGTCCATTTTAATATAAGTTGCTCATATGTTATTATTATTTTATTATTATTATTCATTTATTTCTCAAGATAAGAATACTGGGCCTCACTGAGTATTCTCGTGGGAGGCCCAAATGTTTTATACAAATCATTTGATTCGCATTCGTTAAGCTAGTAATTAGTGGGTTTAATTACATTGGACATTTTGATGAAACAATAACCATAAAGTTGAATGAATTTTTTATTTCGTCTTATTTTAAAATGTATTGTTCCAGTTTCGTAATATTTAGAAATTAAAATGTATAATATATGACCTTAGGATATGAATGAATAATATTATAACTTATAAGTTTATTTATTGACATTTTGTAAATAATAAAGAGGCTCAAGACAGTTTTCAAAAGTTTGCACTTTGTAGTTTGTACTACTATTATAATATATGTTGTCATTACAAAAAATTGTGATGTATTTTATTCTTGAAAACATTAAATTTTTTATCCTGAGTCACGGAAGTAATGAATCTAGTTTATAAGTATGTTAATACATAATTAAACATGTTACATGATGAAACATAAAATATAAAATTCAATACATTTTATACAAATGATTTCTATTTTATTGGGTATAACTCACTTTTTAAATGATTTAGGTACCTAATATGTACTTGAACGTCTTGAACTATTGATTTTACAACATATTTATGTTTTTTAAAAACAGTCTGTGTATAAAATATAATTATAATTTGGAGAGTTTCTAGTTTAATGTTTAAGACAATCAAATTTATTTATAAGAAAAAAAAACTTTGTTTTAAAATAAAACTATATATTTCTTATTATTTTGTCCTTTCTTCATTAAAATAACTTTGAACCCGGGTTTTAGAAATTGTTCTTCCATAGTTTAATATGGAATTCAAAGATGTAAATGTGGTTTATTTGACATGCAGTTTGGTATGTATAAGATGTGTGTTTATTTAATTATCTACGATAATTTTTTTTAGTTAAGTGATTTAGGTATATGAATATATATTTTAATATACCTAATTTTGGTCTTACACAACTTATATATTTTATACCTATCAGTTACTAATCAAAGTAATAGTTAAATTTAGATTAATAATATTTATAGTTGCTAAAATTGTGTTATCATTAAAATTTATATATATTATATAAAAAAAGCTGTGTCCAACAATTTGAAATTTCTTATTACAAAGATTATTTTGAACTTCGAAATCTGTAATCATAATTTTATCCATGATAATATTATGTCGCTTATATAAGTTATAACAAAACTCACATTTTTAACGCACAACCACGAAAAACCTCTGTCCTGAGAGTATTAATGTTATCAGATTATTTATAAACAAAAAAAAAATGATCGTTGTTACGCTGTGTTCGAACAATTTAATATTAATATTATATCGTCGGACCTTTATGTGTTGCACACTAAAGAACAATATAATATTATACACAGCGATTTAACGATTATTATATTTTCAACGCGTGCAAGTGAAGTGAAGCCAAAAAATATTATACAAAAGTCATTGTGCGCCACGCTGTGTGTACTAACTTAATGAGTTTGTCCATACTACGAAAGTTAATAGCAGCAGAAGTGTACTGGAAGTCTTCGCCCATTGTTAATATCACATTGTTAGAACGGTATTGAGAACTTTGTTTTTCAACGTACTCAATCAACCGGTTCGCCTGTATGTGTATATACATCGTACGTACATGTGTTTAGTAATCGAATACATAACGTTTGGTGATTTACTTGATTAATTTGTCTAAGGATTTGAAATAGTAATTGGCGTCTTGGTACGTAAAGTCTCCGCCCATTGTCAATATCACGTTGCCGTGGTTCTGGTATGCTTTCTCTTGGTACCGCAAGTAATTCATCAAATAATTCGCCTAATTTATTTTGATTTTTTTTTTTATGTATTGCCGAGTGCACAAAAATATAATATATATTAATATATACCTATTATATGTGTACATACCGCCAACGGAGCGTGGCCGACAAAAAATGCATACGGATCGTTGGGGGCGGGAGAGGGACAAAAAAAAAAATGTTTTAATTTGTCAATACCCTACCTTGGTCTCTACGTTGTACTCGGGACTCCTTATGTCGTCCACGATCGGGTTCACTCCGCACACGATGTCGAAACAAAAACCGTCTGGTGCACTGTAGTAGTTGTAGAGAACTTGTGTGTAGAGATCAGCTGACGAGCCTAAACCGAAAGTGAAACGATTATGAGACATGCGGAGTATATAGGTATGACCACAGACCAATTATATCATATATGATATATATATGAAATTAAGGATATACTGCATGGGTGAGAAGCATATAAATACGTTACCGATTCGATCAATCCAAGTTTATACAATACAAGCTTTTAATAACTTAAGATATTCCATTAATATTTTAATATATTAAAATAGTAAACAGGCAAAGTCCTTAAACTATAAGTGCGGTGTAATAAAATGAAAGTTCAAAATCTAAAATAAATATCACATGACTTAACTAAACTAATTAAAATAAAATAGTTAAAAGTAAAGGTTCACATTGGCGCTCAACATCAGCTCCCTTATATAGGCTCGTTGGCAATATTTGTAATTAGTGGTTACATATACTATGTGGAATGAAAAAGGAGTAGTGAACCGAGACTAACGCGTAGGTAGACTAACCTTAAAGCATATCAATGGCGATTTCGAGGAGAGCAAGTGGGGCGAACGCCTCCCCCCTCGAGACTTGGTTTATTCCTTTATATAGGTATGTTAATATTAAATAATTATAATATATGTGAGTTATTCAATCTTTGTTTTTGCCATTTTTTTGTTCTGTGGCACTAAATTTCCCCCCACCTCCAATGGAAGTTTTGTCAAAACCGCTACGTTAACATTAAACATACCTACATTATTTTGTTAATCATACAGATGGACATTATAAGACATGATAAGACTTTTGAATTCGTTAATATGTCTACTTGAGATCGATCAGGCCACTTTGTTAAAATTGTGTTCCTATAAACTCCTATAAATTTTGTTTGAACATTTTAAATTCACGAAATGTTGATTATTCGAAAGTTAAATTAAATATCTTAAAATGTTGCCTGGTCGATCTCAAGTAGACATATTAACGTATTCAAATAATTTTTCAGAAGTCTTATCAAGTCTTATCGCGTTATCAGGTCCATCGGTAGGATTGACAAAAAGTAAATGCAAATGAGCATATTGTACATTGTATACCGTTCATGTGAACAATGTCGAGGTGGTGACTTGTTCATACGCGTGCGGGAGCGCTCCGCTATTTCTTTTATACATATGCACACACACTAATGATCACTTGACACTTACTACGGACACATTTATATTGTGCATACAATTTGGAAATTGCCTATTTTTATAACTTCTTAAAAACTGTCTATTTATAACTCATTATGGAATATAATTTCCTCAGTACGCACACACTCAGGAAAAAAGAGATGTCGCATTATGTCACGCATATAGGGGCATAAGTAGGTGGCGTACAAGGAATTTTAAGAGTATAAATTGCAAAGTTTGCTAAGTGCAAATTTACTTTTGATAAGCTCTTATTCGGGCTGCTTTGAATCACTAGAAATATGGATATTCTAGAAAACACGTTATGCTCAAGAATAAGGAGAATATAGGACCACAAAATCACGTTCAACTGGCAGTCTTAACTGGAAGTCTATAGACAACCTCATAACTAAATCAAGAGTTGTAAAAGTCTTACAACACATCATATCTAATATGGATGGGGGGCGAGAAACGATATAGAGGGCCTATTCGGTCTTATCAAATATACCAGTGGACCGCATGTATGTTTCTTTTGTAAAATGGTGTTATGAATTAGGTTACATAATGCAATATCATTCATTAATGGTAGCCCAATTTTCGTCTACCTCTCGTCGATAGCTATCAACGTTATTTGTTCAATAATTTTGAACTTTGGTAAGGTTTTATTACATACCTATCAAAGTATTATACTCATATACCGAAATCGACTATTATGTACATCATGTGTCTAAACGCGTATTACTTCTTATACCAAAGTTATATACGTAGTATTTATTATATGAAAAAATCATGTAAAATAAATATTTATTTTTTGTATCTCAATCAATTATATTTACCGAACGTTTTGCTTTGTTAGTGTATTTAGAGTTTTTAAAAATTATAGGATTTAACATTTTTTTTCTATTAATATACTTCATAATATAATACATTATTATGATGTTATTATTTTTATAACAGTAAATATTATAATACTTAAATTGACTAACTATTTTAAGGTAATAATGATAAAAAAAAAATAAAACATAATTGGAATGGTTTGGAATAATAAATAGTATGTTGGTATAATAATTGTATCCCAAGCGACGAAGAACGTCACAAAATATCGAGCAACTAACAAAGGGTTAACTTGAAAGTATCAACAATATTATATGAATGTAATGAGTTTTTGGATTATTTCAATTTTAAAACAGAAAAGACGACGTTGAGGTTAGTCAAATAACACGGATAAAACAATCTCGAGTTCATGATATTTTAGTTTATAGGACTTAATACCTAAAGCTCCAACATTTCAAATGAATAATATAATATAAGTCTCATCTGAGTGAAAAGATATGCCTGGAGCGAAATCATACCCTTTAAAAATTCATTCATCTGGTTTTCACAAAATAAATTCTCATCGGACTTTTATAACCAAAATATATTCTAGTAAAATATTTGGTAATATTTACTATTACGGGGTATCGATAGTATAGAAAAATGTTATGAAAATTAATTTTTGTATTTCCAATAAGGTAATATTGTTTGTTGAGCGGTTTGAGAGTAAAAACACATATTATCAATATTATATAAGACAAGTTCGTGTGTGCCTGTTTAAAAGTCAGTTTTCGATATTTTAATAATTACTAAACTCAGTAATTATAAAGTTCAAAAATATCACAATTTTTAGAGCTAAATATTGTACACTGGGAATAAAATATCGAAAATCGACTCATATATTATACAGGCCTTCTCTTCAATTTGTATAAAAAGTGTTCATACTTCATACAATAGTATAATGTCACTCAGTAAGCTACATTTTTGGAAATACGAAACTTCAGTCGCTAAAATTCTCATTAATAGTAATTAGTGTGCAAAGCTCAGCGTTATTGACATGCACGTAGTTACGTAGTACGTGAACGTGCGAGCTCCACTATTTCTTTTATACATTCACTCACACTAATATCACTTACTACGCACACATTTACACGACCCACATGCACACACATAGAAAATTGCCTATATTGAACTCCTTAAAAACAGTCGGTATCCAACCTTCTAATATTATCACACTTGTATTATTATGCGATCAATATGGTGGTACCCACTGCTACTGTATAGGTTATAAAATATAATAAACAATCGTACAAAACGCATAATATGTACCCGACAAAAACATTATTGTTTTAGAGCCAGTAACATTAATTACATTATGTCACTATCTAACCAAATACTAAATAGACAATATTATTATTGGAGTACCTATACACGTCATTACATAATTGCAAAATCAATAAACATATTATATTTATTGTTAATTTATAAGACTCAATATGCCAGTAACAATATTTGTGTTGTTAATTAAATGAATCTTAAACTGTCGAGTCAATGAACATATATTTCTAATTATAAGAATTTGAATGTACTAATAACACAAATGTCGTTTATTTGACCTAAATAGAATTATTGATCAATACATTTAGAATAACGTAAATAATCGTCTCCAAACCAGAAACAAAACACATTTATAAATATATTTAAACAACCAAGAAAATGTAATAACAGAAATTACCAGGATGGCAGGATATTTGGTATGAATTTCAAAGAAATGAAAAATTATAATATTAACCAGATAAGACATTATTTTATGAACTTATTGTTGGGGGGGGGGGCGATGAGTACAGCGGTCACGATTACTTGAAGATAAACCCTACGGAAAAATAAGGTTCTGCATAGACAATTTAGTGAGTCGAGTAAATTAATTTAAATTGATGAAGTGGGTAAGGAACTCTGGGGGGATTATGTACAATAAAAATATTACAAATTTAATTTAAAAGATAAAATATTTCCGGACGAGTGGATAAGCTAATTAAAAATGTCGGCCTAAAAAGAAAGCCAGTAATTAAACAAGTGTAACGAAATTAGATATGAAGTTTCAGACGATTTTTATAAGATACAATTTGGATAATATTGTGAACTATTTTGTAAACACGACTTGTGATAGATAATGAATTTTATAAAATAATTGCATGTGAACGCGGGTCGTGACCTCGTGAGTACAAAATATTATTAACGCGGTGAGATTAAAGTTTTCGAATTTTCGTTAAGTATTGAAATACATAATAGTTCCTAAATATAAGTTATCAATTATAAACGAGGAAATGAATAAATATTAAATGATATTAGGTACGTGTTGATAAACAAATACCAAATAAATACTATAGTAGGTACAACAATGATATTATGTCGGCTTACTTTTAGTACAATATATTATCATAATTTATATTTTATAATCATGTTTACCGTATGTTTTTACCATCATCAAAGCATTAATAGATGTCTTAATGAATTAATTTCAGACTAAACCATTTAATCAAGTATAAACAAATCCAAATCCAAGTCCAAATAATTAATTACATTTTAAATAAACCGTGACATGTATTATTTTATCGGTTTAAGCTTGAACACGTTAACAGTATATTTTATTGTGCATACCAATAATGCATTTAAAAATAAGCGATCGACTAAACTCTTGTTTGGAAAGAATATAACTGTGCTTATTAAATTGAAAATCAATAATATTATAATTATTCTATAGTTCATAAGTCCTGTCGTCTTATTATACCATTTATACAATAATTCAAACATCAATAAGCAGGCAAAGACGAAATTGGATATTGAGCATTTGTTTCGTTTCGCATAATCTGACTCAAACCCGGAGTATCATTTTAGATGTGTATTTATTTTTTTTAATTTTAAAACGATCTTGCACATTTAAAAACAATTCTGAGTAACACTTAATATAGGTTTACCCAAAAATAGTTTACGCTTATTGTTCAAAAATAAATGCATTAACAAAATAATATTTTGTTATTCTTCTAATTTTTTTTTGTTAAAACTCACAGTATTTCAAAATATATGTTTTTTAAACTACTCTAAAATCCAAACTGCTCTTCTCGAAGTGAAACCTGTAGTTTGCAAAAAGTCTGCCTCAAAACTGATTTACGAGAGAAAAAACTTCGAAAAAATATTGTAAAACAAATAGCCCAGGGCTCTGCTCTGCACGATGTCAAAACTACAAGAGCATTAAATATTATTTCTATTATTACCATAGTTTTTCAAAAAGAATCATATACTATTATAATATGTATAATTATTTTTATTGGTTCGAACTCTAATGACCACACCTAGTGGTTTACTTCAAAGTCCGATCTCATAATGTTTTGTCCACGTCTGAAGATTTAATCTCTCTTTGAGTACCTACGTACAATTTTACTTATCACAACTAAAACAGATGCAGTGTTCGTGTTTAAAATACGGATAACATAACAAACGAAATTATTATTATATTAGTAATTATTACACATTCAGCCCGACGAACATGTTCTCTAATATATTGATGTATTATAATGTAATTACCGATATTGGGACTGGATTGCCAAATCATCTCGGCCGTCTTGTTCGTTAGCCTTTGTATTTTTTCCTCGTAGTCTAGCCGACCAAAAAACAGACCATCGTAACCGAATTGTGAAAACAACGTGGCCATTTGCCTCGAGTGACCAAACGGATCGATTTGCCACCCGATGTGAGGTCTTCCACACTCTCCGAACGTGTCGTTTAATTTTCTGTAAATATTATATTTTCTGTAAATTGAGTTTCAACCGTCGATTAGACAACACGTTCGTCGCGTTTACCTGTCTTATCAGTTTACTTACGTAATATTGTTCAATTTTTAATTAGTTTGATCGCATTAGTTCGGTTTTTTTTATTATAATGGTTTTGAATACTAATAGTTGCGGTGTTTGTGTTCTACAATTTAATGATCTTGACGCTCAATTAAAATGTGACAGTTGTCCGAGACTTGTTCATCACAAGTGCTCTGGGTTATTAGCTTCTGAGATTAAATGTCTTACTTTGAAAAATCGTAAATTAAAATATTTTTGCGATTCATGCGATAAAGGACTAAATGAATTACCGGATTTGAAAAAACTAATCAGTTCTTTGTTGGTTGAGGTTGAAAATCTTAAGAATAATTCGTGTTCATCGAGATCTGACGAATTTATAATAAACGAAATGAACGAACGAAATTTTCGGGCTGCGAATGTATTATTTTATAATATTCCGGAATGTACGTCTAGTAATATTGAAGAAAGAGTACTTTACGATAAGGAAGAAATATCTAAAATTATCAAAGGTACATCGTCCGATAACAAAACACCGATTAAAGTTATTCGTCTCGGGAAGTCTTATCAACCCAATAAACATCGTCCAATTAAAGCAATTTTCTCTTCAGCTGGTGATGCTTTCGATATATTGAAAAATAAGAAACATATTTTATCTCGCCTCCCTCCTAATTCTTCAAATATTGGTATAAGTTCAGATAGAACTCTATTTCAACGTGAACAAATGAAGAAATTACGGGATCAATTAGCCGCACGCCAATCCAGTGGTGAACAAAATCTCACAATCAAATTTACTAAAGGTACACCGGGTATTGTTGTTATTGATAAAATTGTAAAAAATTCTCAAAATTTTTAAGTTTACATGCTAATTACCAGAATGTTAGAGGTCTTTTGACCAAATTGTTTTATTTTCGTAATTGTACAAGTGTTATTGATTGTGATTTATTACTCCTGACCGAAACTTGGCTGAATAATAAAGTTAGTAATGCAGAATTAGGTCTCAATAATTTTAATATTTTTCGTATGGACAGAGAAAATGAACAAGAATCTAGAGGTGGTGGTGTATTAATTGGTATACGATCTGGTATAAAATGTAATCGAATTGATGTTCCGATTATCATTGGAATCGAACAAATATTTTTAAAAATTATTTTTAGGTCAATTAAAATTTTAGTTATCTGTGTTTATATTCCTCCTAATATCAGTAGAGACATTTATTATGAACATTGCGATTTGGTTGAGAACATTACTTCAAGTAACCCTGACCATAAAATACTTATTTTTGGGGATTATAATTTAAATAATTTTGATTGGACCTTGGATTACTCTCTAGTAACCCATCCTACTGCATTCGTTGTAGTTAATTCGTTTATTCAATATTTAAACCTAAAGCAATTAAATTTTATAAAAAATAAAAATGGTAGAACTCTAGATCTTATTTTTAGTGATATCGATAAAATAATGGTCAATAAAGGGTGTTCTTTTGTCCCCTTAGCTGATGAACACCATCCTCCTTTAGACTTATTATGTAATTTCGATCACTCATTTGTGAATGATGGTACTTATCAATTAACTTTTTATAACTTTCTTAAATCCGATTTTTCTAATTTTTCTAAATGTTTGTCTAGTATTGATTTCAATCACTCATTTAAGGATTTGAATATTGACTCTGCTGTTAATAAATTTTATGAAATTTTAAATCATTTTATTGAATTGTTTGTTCCTAAAAGTAAAATATTTAATAACCAGTGTCCCTCTTGGTTTAATTCGGATTTACGTAAACTTATAAAATTAAAAAAATTGGCTCATAAAAAATTCAAAATAAGTGCTTTACAATCTGATTACCTTGAGTTTTCCAAACTACGTAAAGAATGTAAGATTATGTCATTGCATTGTAGCTCAAATTTTATTCTTAATTTAGAAAATAAAATACTATCAGATGTAAAACCATTTTGGAAATACATTAAACAGCTAAAATCTAATAAATCTTCCATTCCCGAAAATATGTCATATAATAATATTACGGCCAGTAGTTATGAAGAGTCTGCTCAATTATTTGCGCAATATTTCTCAAGCGTATACTCAACGTCTGATTCACTTAGTAATGTAATTACCAACCATGACGCTGATAATATTATTTCTAATTTAAATTTATCCTCTTGGTATATAAGTGAGAATGAAATTTTTGAAGCTTTAAGCTCACTAAATGTTTTTAGTAGTGCGGGTCCTGACGGTATACCACCTAGTATCTTAATCGAATGCAAAAATGTTCTTACTGAACCTTTACATAACCTTTTTAACTTATCCTTGTCATCTGGGTCTTTTCCAACTGTTTGGAAAAAATCATTTTTAGTCCCTATTTTTAAAAGTGGCGATAAATGTAATGTTATTAACTATAGACCAATTTCTAAATTATCTTTAATACCTAAACTGTTTGAGTCTTTAATTACAAAAAAATTATCTAATTTACTATCTAATTACATTTGTCCTAATCAACATGGATTTCGGCTTAAAAAATCTGTGTCTACGAATTTGTTGACTTACCATACCGATTTAATTAACTCCGTTGAAAATGGCGTACAAATTGATTCAGTTTACACAGATTTCAGTAAAGCCTTCGATAAAGTAAACCATTATTTACTAATAATTAAGCTACAAAGATTTGGTCTTCATGGTAATTTTCTTAATTGGTTGACATCCTACCTAACGGATAGATGTCAGTTAGTTAAGTTGTTTAATTCACTATCTAAGGTTATTTTTGTAAGTTCTGGAGTACCCCAGGGCTCGCACCTAGGGCCATTACTGTTTAATCTGTTTATAAACGATTTACCATCTGTTCTCGATTCTTCAGTCAATGTGTTAATGTTTGCCGATGACACAAAATTTTATTCTACTATTAAAAACCAAGATGATGCACTTAATCTTCAAGATAATTTAAATAAGTTTAGTATTTGGTGTGAACAAAACAAATTACCAATTAATATTGATAAATGCAATTCTATCTCTTTCACTAAAAAAATAGATCCTATAATTTTTAACTATCAAATTAATAATATTAATATTAACAGAGTTGAAATGGTCAAAGATTTGGGTGTTCTCTTTAATAATAATTTATCTTTCTCTATTAATACAAATATGGTTATAAATAAATGTTTTAAAATGCTGGGTTTTATTTTACGAAATACTAAAGAATTTAAAAATGTATTTACATTAAAAATGCTCTATTGTTCTCTTGTTAGGTCTCATACTGAGTTTGGTTCAATAATCTGGGCTCAAAATTCTACTGATAAATTGGTTGAGAATGTTCAGTATAAATTCCTTAAGTCTATAGCGTTTCGTTTAAACCTACCCATTTCTAGAGATTCATTTTCATTAGTAGCTAATTCTATTTATATTCAGCCTTGTGAGGTTAGGCGTAAGTTATCTGACGTCATGTTTATTTATGATCTTGTTAATAATTATATTGATTGTCCTGATTTATTAAGTAAAATTAGTTTTTGTACTCATAGTTATTCGACTAGAAACCCTTGTTTATTTCACGTACCTTTTTATAAAAAAAAAATATGTTCAGATTCATTTTTTCCTAGAGCTCTATCACTATGTAATTCAATTTGTAATGAAGTCGATTTCTTTTTTATGTCTCGTGAATCTTTCAAAGCAAAAGCTGTAGACCTACTATCTAATTGAAATTTAATTTTTTATATATTTGTAAATTTTTGTTATAATTCACCTTTCAAACTGTATTAATTATTTTGTATATGTATGGTTGTTCTTGTTTATTATGTATTATATCCTATGTAAAAGGGCTTGTCCCGTTAAACTTAATAATAAATAAATAAATAAATAAATAACGAGCCAGTGATATCAGTCGTTAAGCAATATCAAGTAAATAATGTAGGTATATCTATACTATCTACTATGGAGATATTGGCGCAAATGGAGTGGGCTAGGGAGGACTTGGACCCCCGCCCCCGCCCTAAAACTATGCCAATTAAGCACAAAGCGCTAAGTAAATATAATTTTTTTCTACAGTTTTAAAAATCGAACACAATAAATATTATTGAAAAAAATAAAAAATGATTGAACTTTTTTTGTGGAAAAAGTATTTCAGTTAGGTGATATAAAAACACTGATTTTAAGAACTGTTGAATTTTCCGAGGAAAATATGGTGAGAGAATAATAGTATGAACAGGCAGGTAATATTTTACCTTATAGATATATCAATATAATATGTGTGTTTTAAAGCAGTGTATTTTTCTCCGCTAAATATAGATGTTATAATATATATATGAGATAGTTGCTGAATGTAAATAATAATTTGTACTTGTGTATCGATAATCATAGTTGCGTTGGAGGGGGGGTTAGAATTAGACTACGCCCAGTTTCATTTTTAATCAATTTTATGAGTTTCCTCAAAAGATGTGGCCTATTTGCACTTATATAGGTCGGTACCAAAATGGTATACATTTTGTACAGTCGAAATCGTTAACCTATAATTATCGTTCTTAATTATCATTGTTATTACTTTATTACCAAAACAAAATGTTTATAAGATACAAAACTGTTTTCAAACACAGGTCGTACACTCGTACACGCGAAAACCTGTTTGCGGTGTTGTAGGTGACTATACTTTGATAGACGTGTGTATACAGGTCTCGGACTCAGTCAGACTGTTTGGTATCGGTTCAGAAATATTCCACAAGTAATTTTTGTTCCGACTTCGGTGGTCCCTATTAGGTATATTGTTCGCAAATAAATAAATAAACGTCGAAACAAAATTCCGACGAATGTCGTTTGTCATATTTATTCATTACGGACGACGAATGGTCATCACACGAGATGATTGCAATTCAAAATACGGTAACCGTAACCGATTACTTTGGTGGATGCTGATAATAAATTACTAGGGATAGGCTCGACGTAGGGTTTCCATATTATTATTATTATTATGAAAAGTCTGGCAGGTGACGACGACACGCTGCTTCGTCTGAGCAGGAATCGGTCGCGATTATTATTTACCTTAGACCCCAAGTGAATTGGTCGACAATGGACAAGTAATTTGAAGCTGCCTCGTCGTTCATGCTCCAAGCGCCGCCGATGAACTCCAGTCGCCCAGATGCCACGAGGTCTTTTACGATGCTCTGCGTATCCTCTGACTGATCCACCCACCATTTCCAGAAGAACGCCGTCTCCACGTAGATGAACCTGGAGAGACGTCCAAAACACGTTGATTACGAGATTTCGGAGAGTGGGGGGAGGGGGGCTATGGTTTCTTTTCAATTTTCTATCGACAGATTGTAACGGAATATGTTTTTATCTTTTGTACGTACCTCTTGTTCGGGTCCTTCGCGAGTTCAGTAATCACAGAGTCTAAAATGAATTGCACGCCTGCCAATTGAATGGAACTGTTTGCTAAGCAAAACATAAAAATAAAACGATTAATACAAAAACCGTCACACAAACGGCAAAATGCCATTATTTTAATAATAATAATAATAATAATTTATTTACGGAAATTGGTGTTTTTTACACACATCACCATTATTGGTACTCACGACATTGTATAATATAGGTACTACAGTAAAATTTAAATTTAATTCAGTTTCGCTTTATTTCAAAACAGAATTATTGATGTTTTATGATAAACTAACCGAGAAGAGTTTGAAACACTTTTCATTTTAAATTAGCGTTACAATTTTAATCATCAGTTTTAATATTATTATGTATTGGTTTATAGTCACTATATATTATAATATATACATATGAATTATGTATTTATGTATCCGTATAACATAAATGTATAAAATATATTATAATTTCCCTTAATGCCATGAGCTATACAATTGCCGAAACACTTTTAGAATTGAATTAGTATTTATTTTACTATAGGTATCGACCGAATTTTCAAATCTTAAAAGACATGTATGTATATTATATACTATATATGCATGTCTTAAGGGGGGTCGGAGCCGGTGTGTTTTTTGGTACAAAAACATGTCTTACAGGAAAAACTCTCAAGCCCTGTAGAATTGTCGGATTTCGTTAATTTTTTTTTATCTAAATATAGAGAACATTTTGTAGGTCGGATCACAGCCCGATTTTGAAAATTATAATTATAGAAGCTGGAATATGCATTTGAAAAATGCACAATATTTGTCCTTTTTCAAACGTATTTTTCTACTACTATTTAAAGTAAAATAAAAATTTGAGCTTTGATTCGACCTTCAGAAACTTCTCATCTTTCAGATAAAAAAAATTGACCAAAATCCGACATATCTACGAGGCATGAGAGTTTTTCCTGTGAAACCATTTTTGTTCATCAAAATAGTGCTTCGATAATAGTCATCGCAGTCTATATAGCACTGACTTGTGCATGCGCGTGCGTACATATCTTTATCAGCGAGTGTAATTATAGCTCACTCACACTAATATAGATTTACATTCTCACACACATGCAAGTTCCGCGCAAGGCTGATACAACATGTGAATTAATTGCCTAAATTTTACTCCTTAATAAAATATGACCGGCAAAAAACCTTAAAACCTTAAAGTAATTGCGTTTTACAATTATTATACGTAGTTATAACAGTTTTTCCAACTGGAACTTAAAATTTAAAAAGTTTGTGTTTTAATATTCAACAATAGTATGCGAATTTTAGGTCATTCGTTTAAGCGTTTTATCGTAGTGGTTTACATATTAGTTTAAATGCCAAAACCATTATTATTAATTGTATATTCTAAAGCAGAGTATTCATCTGAAACTTTTAGTGTATAAAATATCAAATATCAAACTAATAGTTTATTATAGTTTATTATTTATAAGCTCTTAGATTAGTAATTAAGTACATCACTGCGATTTTCAGAGTTCTCTTGTGACTTCACTTCTCTAAACTTTAAATACCTACTTAAAAAGTATAAACTATGTAACCATATACCCCTCACACTTTCAAAAAACCATTCTGCATAGGAATATAAAATGGAAAATACGTGTATAGAATCGAAAAATATTAAAAAACTAAAACACTTTAGTGAAAATGGTCAGAATAACAATGTGTTTAAGAAAAACACATTTAAATAAAACATGGATTAGCCTTCTCTAATACATATTATTTAAATATCGTTGACTTATAACTTAGGTCTTAATATGTACGATAGACTATAACATATTATTGGATATCATTATAGATTTTATTATTGTATTGATACATAGGTACTGCGAGCGTTCGAATAGATCAAAGTTGAACTTTGGAGCTTTCGAAATCAAAATTATTGATCTATTGTAGGCATATATATAGTAATAAATAATAATATAATAATTACTGCCGAAATAATATTGATCGACTGTCTTCAGCCAGCCAACGTCATCGTGTGTATGAGGTATAAAGTGCACATTGAGATATCCCTCTTTGACTGGATGACACGACTGAAAAAATGAAAAAAACCATATAGAAATATAACAATATTATATTACTATACATAATATAGTGCCGGTAAATGTTCACCGTTAAGTTGTTCTACAAATAAAAAATTGTGCAGCCAGCGTCATTATTGTTTGTATACGTGCTCTGTTTATTTAATAATGTAGGTAAGTTTACCCAGATAAAATACGCCGCGTTACCCTATTTGGTAGTTTCTCAGAAGTATACCAAAAAAGTTGCCGGACTCGTCGTTTTCAATTATTACAAAATAATAATGATAATAATATGTTTAATTTATGATTTCTCGTTAAACGTTTATCGGTATTCGTTGTATAATAATATATTCCAAAATGGTTTTACTTATTCTCCGTAGCTGGTTTACATAATATAATTTTATGTCTTTAAACGTAGGTACCCTATTCCCTGGTAGTTGTATCTTGTATATACTTGTATGTTGTTTTATTATGAATGTATATTGTATATTGTACAGAATCACTCTAAAAAGAAAACTTAACAACCAATCAATGTTTAAGACCGGAAAAATATTTTACCAACTGAATTATCGATAAAACATCACAAACGTATGGTAAACCTCGTGTAACGAGGATAATATTAAATTGTATTAATTTAATACTATAGGTTTTGCATTGGTCCATATTAGGTACATATTTCAATATTCTAGTTTTATTTACGAATATTATCTACTGGTAATAATTATTGTTAATTTAAGTGGGTATAGATATTATACATTAATTTTTTTTTATACTATTGCCATATTATTAAAAACTGGCAAGTATATAACTATTTTCATACACACAACACGAGTATTATATTATACAAATAGTAAGTTGTTCAATAAAATAAATAAATACATTTTCAATAAATATTTTTAATTAAAGATAAAGACGACGAATCATTCGCAATTGTATTTGTAATTAAATATTGATATCATAATATAATGTATTCATTGATTTTGAACAATTATTACATAAGTACGATAACTAATAAGATTGTGTTACATAACATCATAACTATTATAGTAATCCCACATAATGATTTTATTTATTTTATTGACCAGTATTTTTTCTATCAGAAATACTGAAATTTTAATAAGACTGAATTTGTTTTACTGATTTGTATTTTAAATGAAATTGTGTGGAACATTTACTATAATATCATAGTATGCCATCATATAATAACCAAGAGTACCTACTGTAGTAACTAGTTTTAATTTTTTTTAATTCTTGGTATTCGGCATCAAAAATCCTTTGAAATTGGACTGTAATACAATTATGTAATTGACTAATTATCTACATTTTATTCCATTACTAAAATAAACACGATGTTTTGTAATTGATGCTCCATAATATAATATAGGCAAATTTACGGTTCAATTAGTTTTGACCTTTACACACATTTAGAATTCTAAACGATAGTTATTTTTATAATATCGGACAACATACGGGTAGAATACAATTATTGTGAACTGTGCTTTTTGATGGTACCTTTTTTATAACACAATTTCGTCCGTTAAAATTTATTTTATATTGGCTCAATGTTTTACGGATTATACAGCTGTACGGAAATAATAAAATAAAATAAACCTATAGATCAACAAACGGTCCAGAAAGCTTCCACAAAATGTACAATGTACAAACTAACCACTGCATAATATTTATGCCTACCGACACAATATTCATGAATTTAAATTGATGGAGATCAAAGTTGAAATAATAATAAAATTATGTTAAATCTCTAGTGGTGAAAAAAAGCTTTATTCGATTTAAAATTATTAAAACTTCAATTAATATGTATAGGTACAAGTATTATGTCTTGTTGACTAACCATCATAATTATATTATACACAATACTTCACTATTTTCTAATGTTTGATTAAATTATTTTTTTTTAAATTATTTGAATGATGATGTTCAACCATAATAGTACCTATTATATGAGATTGCTTATTGTGTAGACATATTAATTTTTAGCCTTAAAGCATTGGTCGATTTTTTTATTTTTTGTTCACAAAGAACTTTTAATTTGATTTTTTGGTGTGAAAAACTGTTGGTGCAATATTATAATTTATACATTTGACAATATTAGAGGTTATTTAGTACACAACCACGTAGTATATTTAAGGTATTCCTTTGTTATTCGCCAAAATTTAAAATATACGAAATCGGGTTCTACCAGAACAAAGGTTTAGATTCAATATAGGTATGATCTAATTCAACTTTAATGCAACAACTACACTCCTATATAAATTATCATGGCGATAAATATTTTTGATATTGTTCATTAAAATATCCATGCTAATATTCAAAACATATCATTAGAGTGTTGTTTTTGTTTTTATGAAAATAACATACGTATAATATTATATTATTATATTATTATAATTATTAGTTATTACTATTCAAACAACCTCGAAAGATCAAATTTTTATTATTTACCAATCCTTAATATGAATTTTAATAGTACCAGGTATTTAATATTTATATAAAAACAAACTTTAATCACTAAACGACAACAAGTTTGCTAAACAAATCCACACTTCAGAATGTTTACCTTAAATTATCACCTTTTGAAGAGTTAATAATTATTACGTTCATCTGTTATTTTATGAGTACAAAATGTTGAATAAGTACTAAACAGATATAATAATATAATTTAGCAATTTATGCACGTTGTATCATAATCGAATGAAATAATGAATGACCTTAATATTATATGCTTTGTAAACGATTACTGTTCAACTCAAATATTGATTATCAAAACTTTTGATTACGATTTATATGAAATAAATTATGTACCTATGGCTTTTATTTTAAGTTTAATAACATAAGTACAAATAATCGAACCGTTTACGGGGTGTAACGTAAAAAAAAACACTGCAATGCTATAATTTTAATCGTTTGACTGCGCGAATCTATTATAATTAATATTTAATTCTGTTTTCGATATCTACAAAAAAGAAAAGTACCCATCGATGAATATTACTAAATATTAAAGTATATACCTAGAGCACCTACCTAGAGTATACCTAGGTATACTGCAGTGTATAGGTAATAATATATATTTTATAGGTACTGTATATCGTACTATATATAGTCCTAGGTACACGATGTCCGTCGATTATGCAGCGGACCACCGAGATATTAGACCACGGTTTAGCGTGAAATTTTAAATTTTAAATGACCGTACCTCGTATCCACATTTTGCACTGGGTTCGCTTTTTCTCCAGGGCACGGCGTAGGCGCTCGTGCAAGCGATCAGCACCAGCAACGCCTTGTCGACGGAGCAATAATGCATAATGTCTCTCGAAATGATTAATTTTGCGAAACGGTTTCTGTGTGCACTACAACTCGACAGATAAAAATAATAGCAAAATATGTATTATTGACATCGGCCACCGAGTGCAGCGGGAGCAGGACGAGCGCGAAATCGACAAACCGTTGTTGCATTAGCTCAAGTCGGCTGTTGTAGTAGTTGCCGACTGATACGGAGACCGGACGCTTTGACCGGTATTATAGTGTGCCATCCTACCGGTTTTCTCTACTCCTCCTGTGAACAGATTATATCGTGTGAGTGTGTGTGTGTGTGTGGTAGCCGATTGTGACGTTATCTCGGCCCCAATATAACCTTTGATCAGCGGTCAGTGTTGTTCAAAACAAAAACATCGAAAAAATAAAACACAATCGAACGTGCTATATCCATTACTTACGAGTTTGATTGTCATTGCAAAAGTTAACGAACCATATTGTAGCCGAAGATGTATATGGTACCTATTAGCTATAATTGTTGGCGCATTGTTCGCCGTTCCTATATAATATACAACTGCTGCACCGGTCATTCGTTATCATTATCATTAATATATTTTGTTATTTCGTTAGAGTATAATTTAACGACGAAGGCTTGCGTATAAGTGTGAAGTATGAATGGACGTTATGATTGATTTAAAAGAAAAAAAAAATTAAAATTAAATCATTATTTCAATGTTTTAACACCGCATATAATATTATGCTATTTTGAACCCGTTTAATATGTACGGCGGGTAACGAATTTAAAGTAGGTAGGTACCTACATAGCTTAGTGTAAATTATTTAAATGACGTTTAATTTTTCTTACACGTTTAATATTTAGTAAAAAAACCTCAACAAAAAAAGTATGATACAGTTTTTCCGTATGCATTAAAGTGTGAAATGTGAATATGACTTTTACCTACATATATACTGATACTGCGTATGGACGAGAATACGCGTTTTTAAATATTAGCAACAAATTAACGCATGTTTTTTTGTTCACAGTTCTTGCATTCAATTTTTTACAAAAAAAAAAAATGTGAATGACTATATGTTTTAAAAACTAAAATCTCTTATTTTTCCTTTATTCGAATTTCTATTTGTCTTGAAATCTTTATATATAATTTAAGTATATTGTTCCAAAAATAAAAAGTAAAGCATTTTTAAATAAATAACTGTTTTTAGTAAATTTTGCATTTTAAAACGTTGTTTTTTAATGGACCTACATACATACATATTTAAATAGATGTTAACAAGTATTTATTCATAGGATTGTATATATTTTGTCTACAATAAGTACTTTGAATTTTCAAAATTGTGACTAAAGTTTACACTGAACGATTTTCTCGCGATGTCTATATTATATTGACGTATTGTTACACAGACATAAAGTATGGAGGTAGGACGTGTACGACATATATTATAAATCCCTGTGGGTTTATATTTTCGGTTTGTCAATTTGGTGTATTAACATAATGTGTTTTTCGGACGTTACTATAATAGTATACTTAAGTGTCTGTACGTAGCATAATACTACTATATATTAACGTAAATTTCGCGAATATGAGTAGAAAAATCAAAAAGTATATTATGTAGATACTCCTCTCTGCGAGGGATAAGACAAAAAACAAACAGTTTATTTTTCGTCCGTCGAAAAATTCTAGGAAGATTCCTAACCATGAACGATTATATTATAACTTATAAGCAATGAAAATTTAATTCTTTCTAAATATAATACCTATGCAGAAGAGTATAATATTATCTAAATTATTGTCACAATGATATATCTGTATAAACATAAACAAGGAGACGGAAAAAAATGTTAATAATTTAAGCGATCTAATAAAAAACAATCACACTGTAACAGCGTTCAGATTATAATAGTCTTTCAATAGGGATTTAAAAACCCATCACGCTACAAGTATAATGATTTGGTGTTTTGTACGATATGTATAGTATTTTGTAGGTTAGTGCAGTGTATTGTGCAAAACATTTTCACACTAACAATTATAATATTATTGTTTTGTTTGTCTTTCCTGTGATACTTTTTTTTTTTTTAATACTTTATACGTCATACGCGTGTATGCAGTTCGGAAGTTTGTTAATAGCCGACACAATGTGTCCAAGACATTAACGAATGATCTAAAAAACGTTTTCTCCGCGATTTATGCATCACCGATCACCATTATGATAATTAATAATTACATATACGCGCGTTCGAGTTAGGTGTTGGTCTGGTGACTGTGTTCGACAAATTAATTAATAGAAAATATAAAAAAAAAAAATTCCGATTCTTTGAACGACCGTGCAGGCTGAAGCGAATAAGCCGATGATTGCACAAAGGAAGCCGGCAGCTTTTATGCGTTTCGGGCGTTGAACGCGGTGAGCTGCAGCTGTGATTAATTTATTTTTAATTTCAAAGGTCGGCCAGCGGTTTCTGGTGTCAGTCTCGTAGCCGTATAGTTTTAAGCCTCCGCAGACTACGATGATGCCTATATAATTACCATGTCACTATAATATTATGCACTCAATTCCTAAGTGTGGGACTTTAAACAATTCAAACAACACGCGTAAAATGTTCAGCTCGCATATCAGACATTTTTTTTTTTAGGACGAAAAACAACCGTGCGAATTGAATATTGTTTGACTAGCGCGTTCACTTCATATAACGAACGTTTATTCGGTAAATATTATTATTATTATGTACAGGTGATACCTACTCGATCGAAATTCCTAACTCTGTCGGAAGTTATTTTTTACCACAATTTATGGGTAATGTTTCGATGCATTTCAATACATCTAACATAATATTATCTGTATTAAGAAAAAATTGTAAATGGTTACTCGACCATTGGGTACATAATATGACTGACCTATGGATTTAGGTATTCAACAAAGATTCAACTAATTATTATTATCACAAACTATTATGAAATTTATATTTTATATTATCTTCCCCGCTCTATGCATCGGTGTATTGATTTACAGATTCATAAATTATTGTTGTATATTGTGCACTTTACTAATAAATAAATTAATCGTTCGAACGTCTCGTCGTCCACGACTCAAAGGTTCCGGCACATTGTCATGAATAAATTATTTATGTCGAGTGTCGACACATCAATTAGCTGTGACTATTATAAGAACAGTTTAAACAACTTACATAGGGTATTCGAACCAAAATAACGAATTCAAAATAAGTTGATTTATTTCGAATTTAGATTATATTATATTCAATGAATTACCACTTAAATACTTTCATATTTATTTTTCTAACTGCCTTGCACATTTATATTTGATATATAATCGTAACTGTATTATCATTAATTAGTTGGTATTTACTATTTAGTTATGTTGGTTTTCTTTTTGTCATTTTACAAATGACGTTTGAATTGCCATGCTACTTTTTTGTTCTCGTTGTTAATATTATCATCATTATTTACACTGACAAATTTTAATGTTACTTGCGTGTATAATATGCATATTTCAATATTGTATTTAAAACTAATTAAATATTAACTTTAAGTCTTTGAATAATACAATTAAAATATTTTAAATAGAATATGAAAGGCAGACAAGTGTTAATCAGATCAAAAGAGTAAAGAATATTATGAACTACTAAGTTCAATCATGAATGAAGCTAAGCAAACAAAGTTTATGTGGAGTGTGTGCAATCATAAACTAAATATAAGTTCATGTTTCTTCTCGAATGTCTAATTAATTTTAGTGAATCAAAAATGAAATAAATAACCTTATATTTTATCTTATCTTATATACATGTTGTTATGAGTCAACAAAGAAGATTATTGAGGATCAACATTATTGTGGGAGTACCTACTGATCAAGGATACGACGAAAACGAGTAGGATTTATACATTTTACCAAGTATATTCAGTAGTTTCTTTTGATGATTATGGAAATTACTCTGAAAACTGAAAATGTGCCGATACTTAACAAACATAATATGTACTATACATCATATTATATTGTAAATTGAATATTGTTAGTATTTATGAGAATAATAATAATCAAAATGTGTGTACCTATCATATTATAGGTAGGTACACGATATAATATATGTATATATTATTAATGAGAAATGAGGTCTTACCAACTACTATCTACTGATATTAGAAGCTACTGGACCTATTTCAATAAAAGTTATATTTAGATTCTTTGAGATTCGGAGGGTGTTTTCAGTTTTTTTTTAAACTTTTATATACGTTGCAGTACACACGAATTTCGTTTTCGCTCACGGAAATCAAATAATTTTTTGTTTGTGGCTATATAGTTATAATTATTATAACCGCTATTGTCATTGGTTACATAATTAATAAGAATTTAAAAACATATTGTATAGATTATAGCCGATAAACCATGATTCGTTGATATGAGATTTTTTTTAAATAAAAGAAAATGATATTTAATTTATTTATCGTCATTTAAATGTAGGTACAACAAAAAGCAATGTCATTGTGTTAGTAGTGTACATAGCCTCGAAAACTACTCGACCGATTTTAAAGAAAGTTTCAGTGATTGTCCTTAGAGATATCAGGAAAGTTTAGATAGCAGTTTGAACCACGTTAAAAAAAAATATGCCAAGTGCTATATCCAATCCACCACAGGCGGATTGGCCATCTCGGGTAAATTCGTTTACAAAAGCGATGAGATACTCCGATACTGATTTGCCAGTTATCTGACCACTGAGGTACACTAAAACCGAGATCCACCGATATACTGTCTTATTTTAAGTTTGATCATTTTTTCCCAAGCGAAGTCGAGTTATACAGTTAGTACATATTATATTACATAATATACAGGATGATTCACCAAGCATGCTCACTTTCCTTTAATAATGAATTTACTCAAATTATGATTTTTGGAATTTTTAAATACACTAGACGACAATATTTTCAAATATATGAATTTTTTTGTACTGCTTAAGGAGTGTCATGTGGCGATACATACTTCTGTTTTTCAAATGAGGAGCCCCTTTTTTACTGTAAATTA